CTGTATTTCTGCCTCCTGATTACAACAGTTGGTTCTAACTCATAAACACCTCCCAATTAAATCTGTAGCATATATGGTTTCTGTGCTCACTAAAACCTTTTTCCAATATAGTATTTTACCCTTTCGTTCAGGAGAATTGCTCTCAAGATTCAGCTGCTGGAATCTTTAACCCACCACTACATTTTAGCTTTCATTATTAGTGATTTTTCTTTTCTTATTCATAATAGCCATGAAGTGATATATAAAATAAACATCTTCAGTAGGGTTGATATCTCTTTATTGGCACAGCTTTACATGGAAAATGCAACTTTTCAAGCATTGCTGATCTCATCAGAGAGTAAAAAAATGGGGACTAGATCTCAATTTCAACACTAATTAAAACAATGCAAGACTTCAGCCACTGTGGGCAGGATGATGATTAACTTAATGCTTAATCTTGCTGAAATCAGCAGAGTGTAAAAGCCAAAAGCTGAGCATATTTTTCAAAGGAGGAAACCATGAGAATATATTCAGAAAAAGCAGGTGGAAGCGGATAGAATGAAAGTTCTGCCTTCCTCATCATCGTACATATTCACTGTTTTTTTCTTTTCAAATCAGTGGCTGGGAAAAAAATGTTGGTATAAGTAGTCCTCAACTTACAGCCACAGTTGAGCCCAAAATTTCTGTTGCTAAGCAAGACAGTTTTGCCCCATTTTATGACCTTTCTTGCCACAGTTAAGTGAATCACTGAAGTTCTTAAGTTAGGTGAATTTGGCTCCCCCATTGACTTTGCTGCTCAGGTGGTCACAAAAAGTGATCACATGACCCAGGGATCTAGCAGCTGTCATAAATAGGAACCAGCTGCCAAGCATCTGAATTTTGATCACATGACCACGGGGCTGCTACAACAATTGTAAGTATGAAAAACAGTGCCATTGTAACTTAGAACTAAACCAATGGTTGTAAGTCAAAGACTATATTTATCTTCTGTTAACAACCAAGCTAAACCTTCTTTTCCATGCTCTGACTAAATCTAGATATTAGAAACAAGGCTATCGCTTCTCTAAGGTTTGGGGTTTTTTTAAAAAAAAATGAGGCTGGATTTAAAAACACTCTACAACAGGCATGTCAAACTCACGACGTCATGTGACGTCACGCAACGTATCGGAGCTTTTTCTCCATTGCCGGCAATGGGGTGGGCGCGGTTTTGGGATGACGCGTCCGGCCCACGGGCCGGCAGTTTGACACCCCTGCTCTGCAAGTTATTTAGAGGAAGAAGCAATTACTACTTCAGATAGTATCCCTTGTCAACCAATTTAGGATCAGAAATGAGAATGAGCAGTCTATGATCTGGACATCATGAATTACATTTTAGTTCAATTTCATAAAGCTGTAGGCAGGCAAAACATTTAGAATTGTAGATTGAGTCGTGGCAACTGGACTAATTTTATTAACTTTACCTGGATGACTGAGAATGTTGATCAACGTTCAGAATTGTCCTTTTTTAGACCCTTTTGCCATTGATGCAATGTAGTACATTCAAAAAACAAAAATTTCACTTTGGAAAAGAAGGCAGGAAGGTAGAAAGGAAGACAGGAATACATTGTTTTAAAATAAACTAATGCTATAGTCTGTAGAAATAATCTAGGTTTGTATTTTTCTTGATACACTACAGCAAGAGGATATTTTTAAGGCAAAGTACATCAAACTTCCAGCAGCCAACATTTCCTATATTTTGATTTAATAAAACCCAATATTTGCAACCTGTACTTGTATGATTAAATTCCAGTTGTGGAAAATCTAATTTTAACAGCACATTTAGGCCTCAAATTCTAATTTAAAAGCCACACACAATTGGTTGGAGTTGTCAATGTACAGGCATTCATGAACTGGGTTTTTAATTTATTTATTTAGAAGATCTATATGGCTGCCCACTCACTCTCAGTGAATTTGGACAGCTTAAAAACAATGAAAACCCCAATATAAAAGAATGAAAAACAGTAAACCCCCCCCAAAACCCCAGTGGGTATATAGCATGTGGTGTATGCAAACAGCTAAAAACTAAGCAAACTTCCTGTTAGCTCAATTGCTCTGAAGATGTTGCTGGAGTAAAATCCTAGCAATCGTTGGCCATTTCATAACTGGGGAGCTTGAAGACCCAAAGTTCATACCCCCCTGATTTAAAACAACCAATTCTGTCTTCTTTTAAAACAAACGTATGCTGTGAGTACTCTGTTATTCAAAAACATGACAGAATGAATTACAAAACAAGATTATCTACTAACAAGAAAGTTACCCTGGGCTGGCCTAGGGCAGGAGTCAAAGTATTAAACATATTATTAGCAGGCATCAAAGCAAAAGTTAATGTTTTTCTAATAGGTAACAATTATTATCTTGTAGCTTTCAGGAACTTGACTGAGCCATTCTTGGCTGTAAACAACTAACTTTCCTATAAAAAAATATTACATCTGGGCTATGCCTCATACTAGAGAAAGGTGCATTTTGCTTATTATAAGTATGGCATATTCCCTTTTTTATCAGCTTGATATAGTTAAGCAACTCTGAGTATTTCAACTAACCTACGTTAATCCTGTTAAATGCAAAGATTTTAAAAAGCAAAAAAGGACTGAAATTAACAAGAGATTTTTCCTTTTCCTTAATGCATATGGGTCTTTGTTTCTGCAGTTTATGCCTTATCATCCATCCACTTTTGACACTCCTGATAGTTAATTGATAGATAGATAACCTTTGTCATTTTTTTACTGTGGGCACAATGGCACACATTAAAAATGAAATTTAGTTGCCTGCTCTCAAAGTGAAACACATACACGACACATACCTAAACATACTATGAAGATGGATTACAACAGGAGACCTCAACCAACTCTTATAATCATGACATCCACTGCTGTACTCATTATAACTTCATGTTGGCTTCCATATCCAGCGACCTTGGTGTGTTTAAATGTGTCTAACAGTCTCTTTTAGAAACAATACCAAGAGGGAACAAGTACAAACGCCTCGGGGCTATTTCCTTTCTGTTGCAGAATCTACTTCACATTTCCTTCAAGGACTGGCAAAATTTAATTGCCATGCCTGCAGTCGGTACATGGAGGATGCATGGGAAAGTTCTCATTTCGTGTAATCATGCAACATCACGTTGTCTCCGTCTGTTGTCTCAGTCTGCATTGACAGAGTTATGTGGTATGCTGATATATGGCCTGCACTCTCCCCCCACACACCTGGCTTCAGGTTACAGGATTATTAACCTATTCAAATCCTTCTTCTCTATTAGTAAAAGGATGGTGAATGGGACAACAATATCCAGCTAAGGCAGTGTCATCTCAAGACTGAGAAATAGGGTGTTCCCTATCTTCACTGAGTGAGAACAAGTATGTACGTGGGCACTCCATGAATGGACTGATAGAAAGCAATATTCAAGACTCATATAATTTGCTAAAGTAAAGATACTGTATAGCTTATATATTGTATTATAGTATAGTATATTATATTTCATATTATAGTATATTACATTTTATATTAATATCTATAAAGGAATTAATAATTTGTCAAGCAATTATTGCTAGACTTGCCAAGTAGAAGCAGCCTCTCCCTATCCCTTTGAAAACTCATTTGTGTGGTTATGATCTCACATGGCTACCAGTAGTACATGAATGAAGTAAGACTCATGGCTAGAGAAGATCAAATCACCTGGGGAATTCCCATGTGAAATGACACCTGGTGCCAGTTGTTTGTCTGCCTCCTCAAACTATGCGCCCTCCTAGAAGTGCTCACCTAACAAGAAAAAAGTAGCTCTTATGAAGCTGAAGGGAAATAAAAATTCAACAGTGACATTACAGAAGCTATTTTATTTCTGAACAAGGGGCAGAACTGAGAATTTCCAGCTCTCTTTCTTTTGTGGTGCCAAGCAGCACCCAAAATGCTGTGTCTTGGCACGGAGAAAGTATTTTGAATCTAAGAATATATTTATATTCCCGCAGCCAGACCTTGAGCACACTTGTCACATCTTGTTTTGCTCCTAAGAACACGCTTATTCAGCTCACAAAAAAATTAAATTAGCGCAAAAGTTTCTGAAAATGACAATTATCTTCTTGACAAAAGACCATATTAGTGCTGAGAACCAGCTTTCTTGCTGATTCATAAACATGCTATTCCACAAGGTATTAGAATTCACTCTAATAATACATGTAGTAAATTACTGGCCCGTCTTAGAATTTTTTATGGCTATATATGTGAAACAAACTGTTGGGATACATAGGAAAATATTTCACTTCAGTGTAGTAAAATATTAGAGTGGTCTGCATACACTTATTATAGAATTGTGTTTGCCTGCATGCTTCGTAATTTCTTTGTAGTTATTAGGTCAGAGATTATTTCCGTATTTTACATCAGTTTTAAAGGGCAAAGGAATCACAAATGTTCCAATATCCACAGAAGTTATTAAGGAAATGATAAATATTTTATTATTTCTCAGCCAACCAAAAGCAATTAATTGATCTTAACAGAATTTGAAGAGGACATGTTATATAATGATATACCTTTAGTTGCCAAGATACTAAAGCTATTACCAAAGACAAGAAATTTAGCAATACCCATATAATAAAAACTGCTGGCTAGAAAGAACAATTTGGAACTTCAGATTGTGTTCATTACAGCTCAATTGTTACACAAAATTGGACTGTTGATTAGAAAGTACTTTCATAGAGTTAGCTCCCAAGAATAAAAATGTAACAGATATCAACTATTTGCTTTCTCTTACTTATAAACATGTTCGCTCAAGTAAAAGGTTTATCTAAAATATGTATATTATAAACAAATATTTCCTCCACATTTAAGTCACACAGAATAGTTAGTTGTTCCAACTTTTAAGTAAGAGGTAGTAGAAGCTACTCTGGCTTGGCTAAAATACCCAATATCCAGACATTTAGAACAGCCATATAAAGTTATGGCAGAAGGAATGCTGAACTTCATGTCATAAAAATTAAGTCAACTTCATTATCAAAGTTCATAACATGGTTCCAATTTTATTACTTAGTGCAAAATAAATGACTTTTCATCTTCAGCAAAGAAAATAATGCATCTTCAAAACTTCAAAGCATCTTCAATCATCGCTGTCACTTCCAGAATCACTCAGCTGGAGATCATTTCCTAAAATCAAAATAGCAAGTCACACCATAGTAAAGAAGAGTTAGCAATCAAACCTACAGTAACAATCTATGCTTTTCATTCCACATGTTGCTTTTCTTTTTACAAATAAAGGGACAGGGTTTCCAATCACTGTATCTTTTAATCCTGATACATAGGATCCACCAGGCTTTCAATAGCTTTCAATATTACTCAGCCTTATTGAACTTGGCAATTAAAATAAAGGCCAGCTTTTTGAGAGGGAAAGAAACTAGTTACAACTGATTCCAATTTAGCCTTCACAAAAAGTATGAGGAATGGAACTACAGTACCAAGGCAACAGAATGGACAATTGCATTAATAATTGTTCTTGTCATAGTGTTTGGTGAATGGCAGTATTAGTAAAATACTAACTGGGAAAAGCAATTTAGAGTTTGTCTTCTTATATTTAGGTCAGTTAAAAAAGAAAAGATAACTGGCCAGACATAAAGGTGTACTTAATGATGAGTAAGATTACAAACCAAAAGGGAAAGTCTATGAACATATATAGTAATATTTGGGGGGGAAGGTTCAGAAAATAATATATATTCCAGAGTATTTACAGTCTTATGCAACTTTGTAAATTTAGATCAGATTCAGATATCTACCTTATGGCACTGTACAACTCTTTCCTAACAAGGTAATCAGAAGCAGAATTAGTTATATTCAATGTGATTTTAATGTTTAAACTCTAAAATAGTAACGTTTTAAACATCCTTTAAAGACACTGCCATTTTCATCATAAGTGTAGACATGAGAAGCATAATTTGCAAATAATATGTTCCACGCAATTGGTAAGAAATCTCATGTAATTCTATTTATTTCAATACAAATCAGAAAAAAAGAATTCTGTCTAAAAACATTTCAATGATAAGTTGTGACATATAATCAATAGGACTGAGGGGTCATCAGTTCTGTATACTGAGTATGAATGCTTCAGCTAGAAGCAATTTGAAACTTGGTTTTTTTTACTTAAAATTTGCCACATATACTGTATATTAAGGACATATTTAATGCATTTCTTTGCCCTAGAAGAGAGACAAATATAAATTATATTTTAAATAAAAGAAGCATTTAAATATAGAAATGTGGGGTAATTACTATTAAAAATTAACCGTTTCTTTCAAATTTCTCATATTATGTTTAATTATATAATATTTATGAAGAAAGTTTAAGAATAGTAAGCTGGCTATTGCCACAAAAGGCAAAGAATTCTGTTGCCACAAAAGGCAATATTGCATTATAAGTTATAATAGGAGCAATTCTACTTCATCAACCTTATAGTGTTAATAGAGCTCAAACAAAATGCCCAATGATACAATTAGTTTGTTCAAATTTCTATCCATTCAATCATTCTCTCATGCTCTCCAAAATTTTCTTCCCAGTTATTCATCATAGCATTAAGCATATTCAGTTCTTTTGGGCTGTTTTCTATTTGGGATATAAAATGAACACATAGTGCTAATCCTACCTAAATCAAAACTTTGCCGTTTCTCATTGGGTTTTCTATGCAACTGTCAATTCTATTACTAAAAGCTTTTAAAAATAATTTTTCAGGTGAACCAGGAAATGAACATACATATGCTCATTTAACTTTTTAAAATCTTTTGCAGGCCTACAGCTTTATTATATTTTTTGCCTTATCAAGTTCATATTGAGCATCAGTTTGATCTAGTTCAGTAGTAGCGAACCTATGGCACGGGTGCCAGAGGCGGCACTCGGAGCCCTCTCTGTGGGCACATGTGCCGTTGCCCCAGCCTCACCTCCCCCCGTGACCCCCTCCTCTCCAGCAACCCCCCTGAAGGAGAGTCGCCCCCGAGCGTGGCCCAAACGGAGCAGCGCAGCCAAGGATATGGCACCCAGGCAGCATAGACAAGACTCTGCCCTCACACCCCATCGTGCACAGTTGATGCTGCAGGGCGCGGGCAGAGGGTGTGGCTGCCATAGTGCTGCTGGGCTGCCTGGGTGATCTGCGACGGGCCCTGGAGGCGGTGAGTGGCCCTGTGAGCAGGCGGGGCAGGGGATGGGGGAGCGGAGCGGTGGCGGGGCAGGGGGTGGAGCAGTGGCAGGGCAGGGGGTGGAGTGGGGGCGGGGCCAGTTTTTGGGCACTTGGTCTCTAAAAGGTTCGTCATCACTGATCTAGTTAGTGGTTAAAGTAACAGCCTAGAATGTGGGAAACCATGAGTTCTAGTCCTGCTTAACTATGAAAGCCAGTTGGATGACCTTGGGCCAATCATTCTCTCTCAACCCAACATACCTCACAGGTTGTTGAGGAAAATAGATTCCAGTAAACTGAATTGACCTTGTCAATAAAGTGAAATGTTTTAAGAAAGCCAGTTTTCTTTCCAAATTTTAATTTTAATGTTCAAACCTTCAAAATTTTCTTCTTATTAAAAAAGACTCAAGGTGACAGTAAAATTAAAGAAATTGCCAGGAAAATTAATCTCTTATTAGTATCAATTGTTATATAATCTGTATTCCTAGAGAACACTGGAGTTAATAATGAAGTCCGACTATAGTGTAACTGAATAAAGATACAGTACATAGATACATACAGATTAGCCCAAGCTAAACAAATGATTGGGTTGCATTATTTTTGGCTGGCTTTGATGGCTAAACTAAAATTTATGTTCCAAATGTTCCTGATTATATATGATATCCAAGAATCAAGCAGAAAAAATCCTTTGCTCTATTTTTTGATCAGGAAAATACAGTAGGAGTCTACCATTTACATAGGATATGCCAACTTGCTTGTATTTTAACTAAAATGGTCCATTTTGGGAATTGTATAAAAAAGCAATTGCCCTATAATTCTATATTCATTTATTCTATCTATTTATCTAGCTAGCTAGCTTTAGGTTGTGATAAAGGCTGGGATTGACCATTAAACAGGAGTAATTTGTTTGCTATAAGGCAAAAGGCAAAAATGTCATGTCCTATACACAAATCAGTTCTTAGCAAAGCAGCCCTGGAGATAAGCTAAACATTTTACTACAAGTGAAATATGAACTATACTGCAGAAATCATTTCTGAAATGTATGAATGCTTCTAGTCAAAATTGTTTTAAATCCCCAAGTCCTGAAATCAATCTTGGATGATGTCATCTGTGCTGAATTGTTTTTACCATAATCTTTAATTTGGCATAATGAAAGGTCAATGTAACTTTTATCCCACCTTCTAATCCAAACTGCCGTTGTGTAACTTAAATCTGCGCCTGGAAAGTTGTAACTAACAGCATGTGGATTCCTCATACCTAAGTCTATCCTAGCAAGCTTTGTTTCATTACTTACTCAGGGTATTCATCAAACGGCCGCTGCTCTCTTGACTTCTGCGATATCCAATATCCACATCTGGGAAGGTCTGTTGTGATACTGTCATCATGGGATGCTGTGGCTGTAGGTGTGGCATTGACAAGGGAAGAGACAGCTTTGATCCTTCTTCTTCTGAATCGCTAGAGCTGTTTTCACTACTTGATGAAGCGGATGAACTCTTTGATTCCGATGAACTATCGGAGCTACTCATTTGCTCTATAACTTTAGCTTCTGCTTTTAGCTCTGAAAAATACAATGTAAAAAAAGGGGGGGAAAGAATTTAAGACTAAGGCACACATAATCACCATGTTCAGTTGACAAACCTAATGGGAGATAATTAATTATGTGGTATAGAGCAGTGGTGGCGAACCTATGGCACGGGTGCCAGAGGTGGCACTCGGAGCCCTCTCTGTGGGCACACGCACTGTCTCCCCAGCCCCGCCTCCTCCCACAGCCCCCTTCTCACCAGCAGCCCACCTGGAGGAGAGTTGCCCCTGGGCATGGCCCACACAAAGCAGTGGAGCCAAGAACATGGTAGCTGGGCAGCGGGGACAAGACTCCGCTCTTGCGCCCTGTTGTTGCGCGCAGATAATGCTGCAGGGCACGAGCGGAGGGCATGGACGCCATAGCGCTGCTGGGCTGCCTGGGTGATCTGTGGCGGGCCGTGGAGGTGATGGGTGGCCCAGTGGGCAGGGTGGAGTGGGGATGGGGTGGGGGGACAGTTTTGGGGCACTCAGTCTCTAAAAGGTTCGCCATCACTGGTATAGAGGTTAGAATTGGATCAGATGCTCCCAAAGCTGAAATCTCTACTCAAAGAGAGAGAAAAAAAACAATAAAGAGAGAAAACACCAGTTCTGGAAAAGAAAAAAACTCCAAATATATAAGAAGGCTTTTTGAAGCAGAGCTCAATATGTTTTATGTTTTTTCCTTTAGGAGACTCTTCAATAATTGATTTCAATCCTGGCCTCTGCACAAAACTGATACTGATTATTCACAAATGCTCTTGGAGAAAAACCTGGCAAACCTCTCTTTATTTGAGCAATCTGGAATACTGATGTAGAGCCCTGAGGAGCAAATACAAAATATGTACGAATAAACCTGCTTCATCGTTGTTGTTTTTTAAAGTGATAGCAGCAGAAATAACACGGCAACAAGTCCCATCGCTCTATAGCCCATTATGCAACAAGTATTAAGAGTTTAATCAAATGACTGTAACAATTACAGCTGCTATTCTTAGATCTACCTGCACTGGGTAGGGCCAAATTGACCTGGGACGAATAAATCCTGCTGATCGTAGGTTCACTGTAGATCAACTTTTAACAGGATGGCGCAGAAGCAGATAAAACCCTATTCTAGGTTAGCAATATTCTGAGCAGGCTTCATAGATCAAATTGATTCAGTCTTATTAAGGATGAAGCAAAGTAAGGCTTGACTGAGTCACAGGTTCCAAAGGTTATGCGAATGCACTTCTCCCATAATTTGTTAATAGCATATTTAGTCTGCCTTTCACTTTGGGATATCAGACAACAGAATCAGAATATGCCATAACATTCAATAAGATAATAAAACAGCATTATATAAAACAAAATAAAAGCATAGAACAGTATCAGGTTAAAATCAGGTACGTCAGCATTTAAATGACTTATGCATGTCCTCCATATATCACTGAAGCTAATCTGTAGGCTTTAAAGAAATGTTATCTTCTTTTTCTTTAAATGTTCCTTCTACATTTTTTTTCTTTATTTACTTATTAAATATATATACTGCTCATCTCGCTATACAAAGTCACTGTGCGCTGTGTTTACAATACAATAAAATCAAAATTATAAAAACATTAAAATTAACCAGAATTAAATAAAGACTAAAAACCAGAAGCACAAACAGCACAGAAGTCGAATCTCCTGTTACTCCACCAACCAGTTCCAGCATGGAGCAACCCATCAGGGGCCCCATGCCAGCCCACAGAGCCAAGTTTTAAGGCCCTTCCGCAAGGCCGAGAGGAGGGTCCTGATCTCATCCCTGGTGGCAGGATGTTCCAAGGAGCAGGGGCACCAAAGAAGAAAGGGCTCTTCCTCCTGACACCGCCAACCAAAATATCTTGACAGATGGAGACAGATTGGATTTGTATTCCAATCAAAATTGCACTGATTATTTGCATAATTATATTTCAAAAAGTACCACTTCTGAATCAAAACCCAGCAAGCTGAGATCTTCATCAGTTCCCCAATACAGCCCAGCAGTTCTATACAACTCTATTCCGGCTGTAGCTAACTTTTGCAATACCATTTGCCCTGCAGCATTTTCAGTCTTGAGGCAAAGCCAGACTAAACTGTGCTACTTCTAATGAACCCAAAGCAACAGCAGTGTCTTATTGTATGGGATTTGCTGATGAGCTGATTGGCAGGAGTACTGCCAATCTCACTCAGATCCTAGGCAGACTACGTTAAAACCTCCTTCACAGCAGTGGCTGGTTTAAATCCCCATCCTGACTGTTCAAGGAAACTACAACCTCACAATTATTAATTTAATATCAAAGAGTAAAAATGGTTGGAGAAGGGATGAGTGACAACCACTCCTTTCTCTATGTCAATTCATTTACTGTATATATAGTATGTCACAATCTCACTAAAGCTTTCAGGATCAGCGCCAAACAATTCAGCTTTAGCAGCAAGAGATCTTGAATTCTGCATGTGTTCATAGCCTTTTACTTAGTTTAGGCAGCTTCTGTCAGGTTGCCCTCTGCTTTAATTTTTAATTCATTAAAGAATATTTTTCTGCATGTCTGATTTTATTAAACGGAGTCCATTTCACTTATGCCCTGACCAGTACCAGCCATCCCGCTTGGCAACGCAAAACAAATCTCCTGCCATTCCCATCCACCACACCCCGCACCCCGCACCCCTGGAAGGTCCTTCCCTGCTATGTAATTGTCAGGTTGGCAGAATGCTGGGCAACCACTATGGAACTCTGTGACTCAGGGAGAAAAAAAAAAAATCTTAAGCAAAGCAATCAACCTTAGAAAAGAAACACTCCGTTTTAATGTAATCTTAAACACCCTCCCCTGCAGCAACTGAGGTTTTTTTTTTTTTTAAGCAGCTATTCAGGAAACTAAATGACAAGATTTTCCAGTCAGAGTTGAGTCACAAAAGAAACACCTGCCTGTATGCTTCCCCCCCCCCTCCTCTGGGTATTCAAGGACTTTGCCTGAGAAGAATGCGCTGGCCCGTCAGTACAACCGGCTATTATTTTTGAACATTAATTTACCACCCAACCAAGTTCTTTCTAGTCATCTGCCACAGTTTTAAGCTGGGAGCTTATTCTATCTTACTTTACATAGTATGATATTCCTACTGTTACTAATGGAAGGAAAGAGGGGGGGGGAATGGCACGACTTTCAAGCCGTTCAAAGAAGTAAAATTCAAATTCAGTCTGACCCAAACTGAAAAGCAGCATCCATCGAAAATGGTACCTGAGATCTAGACCAGGGGTCCCCAACTTTTTGGGCATCAGGGACCGGTTCAATGGAGAGAGGGTTTTTTTCCACAGACCAGAGGGGGTGGGGTTTCATGTGCTGCCTGCAGCCGTGGATGGGGACTTCGCTTGTTTGCACGGACCGGTTTCTGGCATGCCGCACACCGGTGCTGGTCCACAGACCGGAGGTTGGGGACCCCTAACCTAGACAACTGCATGCGTATCCATGCAAAAAATAAAACCATAATCTACTAGAAGGGAAAAACTTTCATTGGGATTGGATTGACACACCTGTGTCAGCAAAGGGGATATGTTGCTAGCCCCGTCAGTCAAGGAATTTCAGCTGATGGGGTCCAGGAGAAGAGCCTTCTCTGCTGCCCTTTGGAACACCCTACCCCCTGAGATGGGGGTCCCACCCTTCTGACCTTCTGTAACAGCCTGAAGACCTGGCTCTGGCAGATGGCTTGGGGCTGCCACAGGGGAGTGTCACACTGGAGGGGACTGATGAACTAAGAGAAAATCCCATCTCTCCCCACCCCAAGTGCATCCTGCTCCCTCACCCCACATTTGTTAACTACAACACCGCTTGGATTCTAATTCTAATTTTATTGTTTTTAGAAATATTTATTTCATGGTTTTACTGCTTTTAATGTTGTAAACCACCCAGAGTCACTTCAAAGCGAGATGAGTGGCAAACAAATTTAATAAAAAAAATTAAAAAATAAAACTAGAGACTGTTATCAAAGAAAGTAAAGAATTAGGATGATAACCAAGGGGATATATAAACAGGGTCAATATGACGGAAGAATCTAGATAACAGTCGACAACTCAATTATATATCTGTGTAGCGTACCATGAGGTTTTGTATTATTATACCAGACCATGCTTATTTTTACTGCTGGCAAAAATAAAGGATCAAAGTGTATTGCAGCCATTGCAGTAACAGAAGTAATTAAAAAAAACTGTACATGCATGGACAATAATTGGTGGACCAGAGGGAAAGGGAGGAGCAGGGAAATGTATGTGCATGCGTGTGTGTATGCGCAAAATGAGTGCGCGTACAGCAGTGGTGCTAGCGCCTGTGTGCATGCACAAGTGGGCTGCGCACACCCACAGTGGCACTGGTGGTGGTGCTGGTGCCTGCATGTATGCGCAAATGAGCCACTAGTGCCTGTGTGATGCTGGTGCTGGCCCTAGCACCCCTACACATGCCCAAATGAGGCCATTAGCACCGACGCAGTGGCACTAGCGCATGTAAGGTGTGTTCACACGTACACGCACTAGCCAACAGGCCACGGACCGGTACCGGGCTATGGCCCACAGGTTGGGGACTCCTGTACTAGAGCAGGGCTTTTCAACCAGTGGTACGGGTACCACCTGTGGTACATAGGTACCTGGCAGGTGATATGCGACCATCCTAGAAAAGTGGTAGCGGGGGAGGGGAATGAGCTGAACCGGTGGCAGCACCGCAGAAGCCGGAGCGAGAGACGGCTGGAGCTGCAGGGCTGTCAGGGCTCAGCAGAAGCGCCAGGATCAGCGCTTCTTCTGGACTGTCAGGGCTCAGCGGAAGTGCCAGGATCAGCGCCGGGCTCCAGCTGGAGCTCGGTGCTGCTCCTGGCGCTTCTGCTGAGCCCAGAAGAAGCGTCGATCAGCTGGAATGTTGCAGCATCTCCAGGGTCTTGTGATTTACATTCAGATGCTTGGCAACTGATTCATATTTATGACGGTCACAGTGTCCCAGGGCCATGTGAAGTGACCAAAACCTGCTGCAAGCACCCAGCAGACAGAGGGAATAAAAATCAAACACCCCCAACCCTGCTGCCAATCCTCAACAGAAATGCTCACAACAATGAAAACCTCGGACAGAAGGAAGAGCACCACCGGGTGGGCAGGAAGGTGTCTTGCTCAGCTGTGGCTTGGAGGGGCACTTTTTTCAGTGCCATTGTAACTTCGAACAGTCACTAAGCGAACTGTTGTAAGTCGAGGACTACCTGTACTTTATCACTTTTTTCCTTTTTTGGGGGGGGTCATCAAGTTTTTGACACCTTGCTAGGCGACTGGTGGTGCTCGGATGTTGCCATATCCTAAAAGTGGTACAATGGGTGAAAAGGTTGAAAAGCCCTGTACTAGAGGATGGATGAGCAATAGCTAAATATGCCTAGGTCATAGCTAAGTATAGGCAATAAATCCTTTTAAGGTTTTTTTAGTCATTCTCCGTCAAATATAAATAACTATCATACCTAAAGCACCGTAAAGACATTACATATTTCAAATTTTGTTTAGCTATTCACCTGTTCATATTCAGATATGCTGCAAAAAACCACCTAGAATGATTCTGGCGATTCAGGTCGCATGCAAGCGGGAAGTTAAATCAACAGAATTGCAGGAATTTCATAATGTTAAGTGAGCAAGTTGACAAAGCAATAAATTGTTCTGCCAACACTTCATTCCCGAAGCTGCTTTCCTTCCAACCAGCATGAAAATGAAGCAATCTTGCAGAAGAGTGATAGAATCAAATCACTTGGTTTTCATGCTGGCTCAGAGGAAGTAAAAAAATTGTATTAGTATTTATAGCCAGGGGAAAAAAGAGAGCCAATGCAAGGCCAGAACTACTCAGTCCATTTTTTTTATGGGGGATGCTAAAGAGTGAAATTTCTTATGCACAGCAAGCATGGAAATCAAATAGGCAGTGGTAAATTCCATGGCTTTCACTATTTCTGGTCCACTGTATCTCTGTGCTAGATTTGCAAACTGTTTTTCTATGCACTTAAAAAAATAAGCTGGCTGATGGAGTCTCCTCTGAAGTCTACAAGTGTTGTGCCTGCCAAATCTTTGCTCATAAAAGGGATTGGCAAAGGAGAAACAAACCTGTGGTTTACTTACAAGAATATATTCTATATAGTGCAGCACCGAGATGCCCTGGGCAGATCCTGAAAAAGCTAGACAGGATCAGACCTGGTTAGTTCCTGGATACTCCGTAGGAAATCTTGGGACTATTCACTAGACTGGGAAATTTAAAAAAAAATAATCTGAAAAACTCATGGGAAACCACTTTTGCAAGTTTGCCAGGGAAACTACACGAATAAACTATGTAATCCTCTGTAACTGAATTTAACTCAAAGAAATCATCTCCATTTTTAAATTACTTGATCAAGACAAGAATAATTTTAAAGGTGATACATTTGGATTCTAGTATTTCAATATAGGTAGACTTCGACTTATGTTGCTGAGTGAGAAATTGGTTAAGTGGGTTTTGCCGCGTTTTACGACATTTCTCGCCACCTTTGTTAAGTGAATCGCTGCAGTTGTTAAATTAATAACACCGTTGTTAAGTGAATCTGGCTTTCCCATTGACTTTGCTTGTCAGAAGGTCACAAAAGGAGATCGCGTGACCCCAGGATACCCCAACCGTCATATATATGAACCAGCTGTTAAGCATCTGAATGTAAATCCGATGACCGTGGGGATGCTGCAATGGTCATAATTGTGAAAAATGGTCATGTCCCTTTTTTCAGTGCCGTTGTAACTTCACACGGTCATTAAACGAATTAAGTCGAGGATTACCTGTATATGGATATGAATATAGTTATATAACACCTTCCTCTACACACGAGTAAACCTAACAAACCAGCAAATGGAATGGAAAGATAGATTAAAAACTTTCCCACGTTATATATTATTCTGCATATAGGCAGAGTATGTGAATACATAATCGTATGACTCCCATCTGAATCAGAAGCTGGTACCCCTGACCAACTTACCTTCTCAAGGACAATTAAGTAAAGAACTTCAGCCTCAAAGTCTTCAAGCTACGGAGTCAGTTTTAACACTCTACAATCGCAAGGAATATAGCGATAATTTACCTCTTTCAATATCATCCATAGGAGAAGGCGGAGACATCTTCTCTTTTGGTGGAGAAGATTTGTGGTTGTTTGGCATCTTATTAGTGTGTTTCATTAGCTGCTGCTGCTGTTGCTCAATACGAGACTGCACCTTGCTGCTTCCTTCACCTCTGCATCAGATCATTAAGAAAAAGAAAATTCTTGAAAAATACGTAATCGTTTGCTTTTCCAACATTTGTTTAAGAATATACAAAACAGATGAACTTCTGAGACATGGATAAATATAATGTCTCCCTAACGTAATACAGTTGTTACAGATTAGTTATTTCATGAAACTGTGCTGAAGTTTTTAATAAACAAGTCTAAACTTGCTTATCTACAGAAAAATAGTTAAATTTGTTCCAGTATACATTAAAGCAGTGGTAGCAAACCTATGGCACGCGTGCCAGAGGTGGCACGCAGAGCCCTCTCTCGGCACGCGTGCCATTGCTCCATCCCCGCCTCCCCACACAGACCCCTCACCAGCAGCCCCCTCGGAGGAGAGTGGCCCCTGGGCACGGCCCACATGGAGCAGCACAGCAAGGACATGGCAGCTGGGCAGCAGGGACAAGACTCTGCCCTCACGCCCCGTCGCGCGCAGATGCTGCTGCGGGGCGCGGTCAGAAGACGTGGCCACCATGGCACTGCAGGGCCACCGGGGCAATCAGCGTCGGGCTGTGGAGGCAGTAGGTGGCCCTGCGGGGGGGCAGGGGCGGAGCAGGTGGGACAGGGTTTTGGGGGCACTCGGTGTCTAAAAGGTTCGCCATCACTGCATTAAAGAGATACAGCATGTTCAGAAATGGGGTTAAAGAAAGCAAATAGGAGTTGTCCGGAGATAGAATTTAAGAAAAAATTCCCACTTCTCATTGAAATCTTACAAAATAAACACCTTACATTTCAATAGCCATTATACATGTGATATGGACATGCATTTCAGTATAACAGAAAAAAAATTAGAAGAGCTTTGAACCTCCATGCTCTCTCCTCTGTTCTGGTGTAACTGTAAGGGATACCTGAAAGCTGCAGTTGCTGCTGCTTTCAGTTTCAATTAATCATAGTTTAAATTTATGTCTGAATCACAAGCTGTGGTTAATATTAAAATCAAAGCAGAAGTGACAGCTTTTGCACTGCACTTCCTACATATGCTAGAAAATGACAAGGGAAACCATATGAGGCCAAGGCCTATTAGAACTTTTATCCCAAAGCAACTATCATGTTTTAAGAAGGAACTTCTTTGCTGTTTTTTTTTCTACCCACCTGATTTTCTTCACTGTGATATTGCTACTAAGTTTCTCTAGTCTACATTCGCCAGTGTCATGGTTAATTATTAAGATGCATTCTTTTTGATATGGCTTCTTGGAACCCTTGAAAACTGTTACTGGTGGAGTAGAGCCCTATTTTAAATAAGAAAAGAATTACTAGTATCACTACAGCTTTTTTTTCCTAATTAAAATCCCCTTACATTTCACACATAACCTCAAGAGTCTCTATTTCATTGCAAAAATGAAAAAGGGAAGACAATATTAGGATTCGTGTTTCATAATGAAACTGCAATTTTCCAGGTTTTTCACAGAACACTGATAATACCTGGCCTTTATCATAAAACCACAAGAATTTCATTCCATCTCCTTAATTAACATACCTCCCCAGTTATGAAGCAGTAAAAAAGGAAGTTTATGTTGGCATCAGCAACTGCAACCCATTGCTGCCATGAATTACTCTTTTTTTTAACTCTTGAAATTTCTATCAAAACTATAGCGCAACAAACAACTTTTGAAAATACTAATTTGCTTCAAGATTACATACAGCAATTTTACAGTTCTGTTTTATCACAGAAGAGTAACTACTGAGGTTTTCTAATTTACTATTTACTGGAAATATTTTGATATCTTAACAGAATTGAAGATGAATCTCTCTCATCAAAAGGACTATTATATGCCCTTCAATAAATCAATGTCAGCCTACTTCATATGTCACAAAAAACACAAATCATATCATGTTGTGCCTGCTATCTGGTCTTCCCCACTTGGCTCCTCCTATCAGACATGGCTAAACAAACCAGGAAACTCCACTACTTAACAAGAAAAATATACGCATGTTTGTTCTTGACTTATGAAGAGGCACAAGCCAGGAGAATTAAGTAATCCAAAGTTGCTTGCTTTTTTAGAAGTTCTGACTGGTAGGGAACAAGAAGCGGGAGCAATTGCAGAGTTTGCAGCAGCATCTTTCTTTAATTGGTTGAAGGTTTCTGGCTTACCATGGCAAAAAAAACCAAAAAACAGCAAAAGCTGGTTTGCACATCTGAGCAATGCAGTCAGACGAACAGAAAATAAGGACAATAAAGGAAAAGCCGCCTGGGAAAGCCAAGGGAAATCATCAAAACAATTAAAAAAGGAAAATTAGAATATTTCGGACATGTGATACAACACCCAGAAAAATACGGCATACTCCATCTAATCCTCCAGGGAAAGATTGAAGGCAAACGAGGTCCAGGCAGAAGAAGAACATTGTGGCTTCAAAATCTAAGGGACTGGTTTGGACAAAACTCAGCAGCACTTTTTTGTGCGGCTGCTGATAAAAACAGGATCGCCAACGTTCGATAATGGATATGGCACAAGAAGAAGAAGAAAGAAAGGAAAAGGTATTATTTCTGGCTAAAGAATGAATCAGAGGAAAGATCCATTAGAAACTAAGAAGTAAACAATGAAAAGAGAAAGAATTTTTTTTTTACAAAAATACTGAATAAACTGTTGAGCTGTTGAGCTATGTTTGACATTAACAAAAGCTGCAAACCATGGGGGAGCTTGTCTAGTCAGAAATAAAAAGCCATATACATTAAAATAAAAAGTTGGTTTTTAAAAGCATCAGTATAGATTCTGCATCTCAGGATCAGATTCAGAAATAGAAATCGGGTGAAAATAGAACTTTTACAATCCAAGGCTGTCTCTTATTTGGTGTTTCTTTAATTTGAACAAGAGACTGGACAATGATTCCTTATGTATTTATTTTCTATTAGGAATTTTTTATGTTCTTATATATCTACTTCAGAACTATTGTCATCCTCAAATCATTTTTGGGCAGCTATTACAAAGATACTTCTAAACTGATAGAATGCAAGAATCAACACAAGGATTTTCCTGCTATTTATTGCTCTCACATGCAGCCAACATTTGTTGCAGAATACAGATCCTCATTGTAAACACATAAAATACAAATTTTTAAGACTGCAGCTTCCATTATCCTGCAGTTTAATAGCACCTTGGAAGTTACCGATCCCCTAATATAATAGCCCATCTGCACAGTCTACTTTGATAATCATATTCTTCATGCACTTACATAAAAGTAATCACTTTAACATATAGCTATGCCTTTTTAAGGAATACAGAAATCTTACCTCAATATTTGGCAACATTACTGTTACCTGTTCACCTTTACCAACTTCAAGATCTCCTTCGCAAGATGTATCAATTGATGCAGGTTTGAAGTCATCTGAATAAAATCATAAATGTTTAGGATCCCATAAATATTGATCAACTTACAAGATAAATGGAAAAGCTACATTATTCAATGGGTATCTTTTCTACTACTAGCTTATCTGTCTTCTTTAGTCTTATTCAGTAGTCCCTAGGAGTAATCCACTACTTATTATAAATTAATAATAATTAAGTTCCCATAGCACTCAACTCTTAGTGACTCTGGGTTGTTTACCCATTGTTAAAACATTTAAAACAAAAAAAAAAGCCCAACATAAAACAAGGTCAAAGATGGCAGAGATAACAAACCCTCATGAGAACAAAGAAAAAGAAGAAAAGGGGGTTCAATCATGCTCAGCCAAGGCCTGGGCAAAGAGCCAGGTCTTTAGGGCCTTTTGAAACTTGTGGGGTGTGTGTGTGTGTGCATTCAAACCTCAGGGAGAACTTCATTCCAGAGGGTAGGCACTGCTACAGAGAAGGTACTTTTTTCTGCATTTCTAAGCAACACTCTTTTACAATCAATTTTAAACAAATCTGTTTCTAATTATCACATTCAACAGAAAATACAGAACTAAGATTCAGGAGAGAAAGATATATTTCAGGTTTCAAATCCAAATAATATCTCAGCTGCACATTCCCACACCCACTGTAATATAGGAGTTACAATTTTGGTAATATGGAATTAATATTAATCACTGTTGTAATTCAACCTACAGTTCTCCAAAGGTATACTGATTAGGGATATTATCCTATACGGCAGGGGTATCAAACTGCCGGCCTGCGGGCCAAAAGTTGCACTATGTCGTGACATGTCACATGATGTTGCGAGTTTGACACCCCTGCTATACAGGGTTTTGAATTATAGAAAGAAAATCTCAAGACATTAGATGTCAGATTTATTTTTTATTAAATACTGTGCACCTTAGTGAACTGAAGAAATGTTTTACTCTTACCTGTATTTCATAAGATTAAAAAGTTACAAACCTAGTTTGTTTACTTCCAGGATGTTGTTGCATTTTTTTTGTCTAAATATGTCAAATGTGCCCTTGATCCTGTTAACTTGTCCTGTTAATTATTGATACTGCAGAGTGCTTAAGTTTTAAATAAATGTATCCCCAATTTTCAAATTGCAAGCCCTTAAAGCTTGCAATCAAGATAAACTAAAGCTTAGCAGATCTATTCTAAAGGAAACATAAATCTTTAGGTTACAATTCTAACACAATGAAAGTTGCAACAAATATAACAGGATCTACTGCCAAGTATACTTGCCCTATATTCTACAAAATATGCTGCCATACCTCAAAATGCATACAAACATTCTAAAAATTGAATCTTTTCCATCTATACTATGAATAGAAAATATGATTTGGGCAGTGATAACTGGTTTATATTCCTCTGTGAGCTGAATTTGAAATATTTAAAAGCCCATAGAAGAAAGTAAGTAAAGATATATATAAACAAATCTTATTTTAAGAATCCAATTAAAAATGCACTGTACCAGATCCCAGATATTTGTACCTGAAATATGGTCTCACCTATAAAAGCTCACCTAGCCACAAACAATTATTCAACACTTGTCTTTTATGAGAGATACGAAGGTGGTTGGACAACCTCTGGAAACTCAAGCTTCTTTCTCAAGCCTTCTCACCCCAAGCCAAGCCACAATCCCTCCACTTCGTTTCACTGCTGATCACCTTCCAGTAAACTTCACCAGGTTCTCCTTACCCCATTTCTCAAAATACGCTTTCCTTAAAAAAAAAAAACCCAAATAGCCTCTTAAACTGACTGACCAGCTGAGATGTCACCGAACGAAACCGATCCCTCTGATGCAAGCGTGTTTAATCCCTAGTACAGGAGAGCTTTCTCACAATGATTTTTGCTCGATACCCGAATGAAGGAGAAATTGTGCTACTTAAAGCAACGTGGCTCCGATTTTGTTTCCGAATCTAAAATAAACCCCAAATCCCTCAACCGAAAACACTGTTCCCTTCTCCCTCGAAGGACTCCGGGCTTCTTAAAACGTCAGCACGGGTACGATCTCGAGCAGACTTTCGCACCAACAACTACGGTAACAAGATGTCCTGAAAAATGCAAATCCCACGGCACAGATTTTAAGGGCTACATCTCAGTCCACGAAAGCTCTCTCTCTCTCTCTCTCTCTCACACACACACACACACACACACACACACACACACACACACACCGTCTCTTGTCGGTCTCTTGCCTTACGGGTTGACTTTAAGAGTCGAGGGTCCCCCCTGCTCCTAAACCGGAGCTCCGTCCTCACTTGCACAGCCTTCCAGCAAGCCTCCACTCTTCCCAGCCCCGCAGCCCCTTCCCCACCTGCTTCAACCCCCCCCGCCCCCAGCTAAAGCTCCCGCTTCGACTCACAGCGCAAGGTGTGGAAGGCGCAGCGCGGCTGCTTCTCGAAACTCTTGCCCAGCAACAGGACGCGCTCCTTGCTGTCGAAGAGCGCCCGGGCCGAGCCGTTCATCCCGAGACACCGGCTTTCCGCCTCCTTCCTCCCTCGCTCGCCTGTCTCCAACAGCCGCGTCCACTGCCCTGGCACATCTCTGGAGCTCGCCGGTGGGGGAAGGGGGCGGGGCTGCCAAGCGAGGCCACGCCCCGTGCCAGACACTGCTTGCTCTCCTCACTGGACGAGGGGTTCCGAGCGCCGCCCTTTCTTTCTTTGGAAGTAGAGGAGGTTGGGGAGGGAAGCCCAGAGAGAGGCGACGCGAGAGAAAGGGCCTACCTTCCTACTGGCTGCGACGGTCTGGGGGGGGGGGAGGTCACGCCCACTGCTGGTGGCCGTCAGATAAAGCAATCCCAGTCGGTGTGGCTCAGGGTTTTAGGAAGAGAGACGTGTTATGCTAATTAGAACTGATGGGGAACTGGCCCGCCAATGGGAGGTGGCGAAAGTAAATATCTCTCTCTCTCTCTCTCTGAGGTGGAGAGCGCCGATTCTATTGGCTGGAAGCGCTTGTGATCTCACAACCGTTGGCATAACAGCTCCATAAACGTTTCCGGTCGGGAGAGGAGGCGGGTGAGAGAGTTGATGCTGAGGTTCTATGGGTGGCTTGGGGGGAGGTTGAGCGGCCACGTCGTGCCCGCAGTGAGGTCTTTGTGACGCGGACGGTTACTGAAATGGTGCCTGGTCAGAGGGAGGGGGAAGTAACTTGCGCTGACTTTGGCAAAGCTGATAACGCGAGTTACTAATTTATTTTCTTCATTTATGTCTCGCTTTCTTTTTTTAAAGTGGCTTTAAAAAAAAAAGCAGTGCCCCCCCCACAGTTGGTTTTGTCAGCAGCTCGAGGATGATTTGCCATTAGCTTCTTTGATTTTTTGTTCTTCCCTCCATTGCTGTCATTGTTGCCTTCCATTGCTATGTATTCACCAAATTTAACCTGTTCAGCTTCTTTGAGATCACATCCTTGAGATGACTTTCAGTCGGTCGTCTTCTTCAGCCCATCCTACCTCACAGCCTTGTACAGGTAGTCCTCGACTTACAACTTTCATTTAGTGACTGCTCAGTTACAACGACAGTGAAAAAAGTGACTTATTATTATTTTATTATTATTTATTGTATTTTTACCTCGCCCTTCTCCTTGCGGACTCAGGGCAGCTAACAGCCTAATAAAAACAAATACAAAAATACAAAAAATACTATCATTAAAAAACATAATTAAAAAGAAATATTAATTTGGCCATTGTTATTTTAAAATTATTTTAAAAACCCAGCTAAAAATTACCCCTTAGGCCAGTCCTGCTAGCTGAAATAGCCATGTCTTAAGGGCGCGGCGGAAGGAAGGGAGATCCGGGATCACCCTGATCTCTGGGGGTAGTTCATTCCAGAGGGTGGGGGCTCCCACCGAGAAGGCCCTCCCCCTGGGGGTCGCCAGCCGGCACTGTCTGGCTGACGGCACCCTGAGGAGACCCTCTCTGTGGGAGCGTACCGGCCGATGGGAGGTAATCTGAGGCAGAAGGCGGTCTCGGAGATATCCAGGTCCGATGCCATGGAGCGCTTTGAAGGTGATAATCAACACCTTGAAGCGCACCCGGAAAGCCACCGGCAGCCAGTGCAGCTCGCGCAGTAACGGCGTTACATGGGAGCGACGAGTCCCTCCCAACATGACTGGCTGTTTTGTTTTTTCAAATGACCGTTACAGCCCCCCCGTGGTCAGGTGATGAAAATTGGGATGCTTGGCAATTGGTTCATATTTATGACTGTTATAGTGTCCTGGGTCATGCGATCACTTTTTGCGAACCTCTGACAAGCAAAGTCAAAAGGAAAGCCAGATTCAGTTAACAACTGGTTTACTAACTTAACAACTGCATGGATTCACTTAACTGGGGCAAGAAAGGTCATAAAATGGGACAAAATTCACTTAATTCTCTCACTTAGCAACAAAAATTTGGGGCTCAGTTGTGGTCATAAGTCAAGGATTACCTGTACAGCAGTCGAGCTTAAATTCCCCCAGGTGGCTTACATGGGGGGTAACTGAATCCATTACAACCATGTGATTGAGAGAAACTGATGGGAGATCTCTTTAGTGAACTTCACGGTCAGTCAGGATTTGCAACTGGATCTCTCCCATCCAGTATCTCAATATTTTAATATTTTTGGCTCTGAAGGGGATATAGAAATAATCCCAATATGGCTATGACTGCATGAGAAATTTATTCACTGACTGTTAAACTAGCCATATGTTAAGTTCATACTGTACAACATGCTGAGCTAAAATATAACCAGCATGTTGTGGTCCAAGACTGTGTGGATATAGGTTATACATATACAAGGAAGACACTGAATTTGGGAAGATTGATGCAAGCAACTAAGATAATAAAGTGCCTTGTGTTGAAAAGTTTGTTTTCAACAAGGAAAGACAGAAATACAGTTTATATTAGAAATTATATGTTTTATTACACAAGTTTTAAGAATCTAAAAGCTTTGTTGGATCACACCCAGGGCTTGTCTAGTTCAGTGTTGTCATATAGATGTTTATTAGTTTTATCAGTCGTCCAAGAAGCTTGTCACAACTATCAACTGTAAAAGCATTAGTCCTCTTCTCCTTTTTCTCTCTACAGTTAGTAATTCAAACATCCTCTTCTCCTTTTTCTTTCTACAGTTAATAATTCAAACTTGTTATTGTTCAGGAGGTAATGAGCAGCCTTTAAAACTAGTACCCATTGATATATGCTCTTCTATAATTTTGCCCAACACTGCTTTAAACAGTGGATCTAAAGGGATGCCCGTGTCGTATGTTCATAATCAAAGTATGTTTTGGATAAAAAATATATCATGTTGTCAATCTTGAATCTCCCAAATTCAAAGAAACATATATTTTAGTAGAAACAGTAAAGTGTATGAATTTGATATTAAAATTAGCTTCTATTAAAATATATCTTCCATGAAAATCTGATGTGGATTTTATTAGATGAAATCTATTTATTACATCTTGTTTAAACTATTGCTTGCCATAAAATGTCACTTACTGAAGATAATTATCTTTTTTCCTTTCTTTCTGTAGTTAATGTTACGTGAAATGAAGCCACTTCCTGTGGATTCTAGAATATTGTCTCTGGCTGCTCAGATTACTGAAAGTCCTGATCAGGATATTCCCGTGTTGCTGTTAAAGTTAAAAGGTAAATTAAGATCTTAGGTGCAACACCATAAGGTAAAACTAAAGCCTGCTATGTGCCGAGCCTGCTATGCCAGGGCTTTTTTTGTCATAGAACGCACCGGAACGGAGTTCTGAACACCTTTTTTTGACAGATTTTCCAGAGTTGCGTTCTTTTCCTATTGTTTCCCTTCCTGTCCTCATTTGTTTTTGAAAATGCCCTGCTGGCGGTACGGTGCAAGCGAGGTCTCCTCCGGTGCTGTCTGCCGCCTCTAGGAGGAGCCATGAGGCACCGGAGCACCACAGCCAGAGCGTGGCTTGATTGGCTGGGTCGGACCATGTGGTGTGGAAGCCGATGGTGGCAGTGGGAGACACATAAACATGGAGGCCATCTTTCACGAGAGGATGAGTGAGTCTTTTGCCTTCCCTTACAGAATGTGGGATGTGAGGTTAAAAAGAGGCGAAGTGAGAGGAAAGAAAGACGGCTGGCGTGGAAGCTTTCCCAACAGCGAAACTTTAGGTTCTTTGGGTAGTTCAAAGGCTGGAATGTCTACGAAAATCTCTTTTTAGTCTTTTATACTTTATATTCAAACTGCAAGGAGGAAGAATAAGAATAAAGCCAATGTCTTATGATTTGGAGATATTATTATTAATAATATATCTTAATTATGTATTGGTCAGATGTAAAGGTAGACCTACAGTATGAGGTTTATTCAGATCTATTTATTAAATTGGATTTAACTTAAAGGTAAATTAAAAGTAATCTGTTCACTGACAAAGTTTCAACTTTAATTTGTTTCAAGTCAATATCCATATTAAACTCCAAATGTAACTTTTTCCACCTTGTTTGACAACTTCTTAAAAATAATTCAGTCTTTTACAAGCAACCAAATTTTGTTTTATTGGGCCAATTTCATTCACATAGAAAGCTGACATTTCCACTCATTAAACTAAATGGGTAAATGTCCCAAAAGATTAATAAAATGCCTTCTTGTGATTTAAAGCCACCCAGTGCATGGTAACATTAATAGCATTAACTTACCTTGAACAAAATCCTAGTCTTTTAGATACACTAAAAATTGAAGGATTTTTTTTTCAACTACAAAGATAAACCTTGTAGGGTAGACAAGGCGGGTTGTATGATATATGTGAGTTCCGGCACCTTTTTTTTTTTTTTTTTTTTACAAAAAAAAGCACTGTGCTATGCTATGATTGAACAATGTTCAGTATTCTGTTACTGTAAGGGTCTTTTGTTTGGGGTTATTGGAAAGGACATTTGTACATATAGAATAGAGATTCTAGTATTACAGAGAAGAAAGTCTTGATCATTATGGGAATTTACGACGTTGTTGTGAATCTTAATAAATGTAAGGAGTGAATGTACTATTGGACTTGTTCAAGTTCTTACTTGTGAAATATTTTTAAACAAGTTAGGCTAATATAAAAGCTATGGATACATAAACTTCTATTTTTCTTCTCTCCCCCTCCCCCCCCCATTCTAAATTTATCTGATTTTAAGATGTGTCTTTAATTTACACGCTTAGCCTTGGTTTTTGTGTATTTACAAAATTAATGTTGCTATGCAGGAAATGAGATGTTGGAAGGCAAATAAGGAAAAGGGGGAAAATAATGTTTGAAGCAGTAAGATTGGAAACTTAAGGGGAAGAAACCGAAACTATTCATAAGTTCCTAAATCGATAAAATGGGCTCAGTTTATAACAGTGCTTCATATGACATCTTGACCCATTAATTAATCATGGGATGAGAATTAGAATGTGTTTTTGTATCTTAAGTCTTCTAACAAAGAACTGTATGATATGAATTATGTACAGAGAAGAGCAACAAAGATGATCAGGGGACTGGAGGCTAAAGCATATAAGGAAAGGTTGATGGAATTGGGTATGTCTAGTTTAAGGAAGAGAAGGACGAGGGGGGACATGATAGCAGTGTTGCAA